TGTCTGTTCCCATCTCCACTGCGTTCCCTGCCAGGCCTTCTGGAAATGCCAGGCCTGGACAAGCCTCTTGCCTTATTACCAGTTTCTCCTTGGCAGGTCACCCTCCCCCAAAGCTCTTGCCACATCAGTGAGCTGGGCATCACATCCAATCACACCTGTAGCAACCCTCCCCAGAAACAGCTGCAGGGAATATTCAGTATTCCTGAAGGAACCAGCCTCACGTGCGTGGCCTCTCTCACCCTGGAACCTCTCAGGCCTTATCACCCACACCTATACCAGGAAAGGTGACATTGGCTCCACCCCCTGGGGGAAGGGCACACAAGGAGAACAACGTGGTTGGTCAGCTGAGGCATTTGCCGCTGAGCTCCCACGCACACCTTCCCTGACCTCATGTACACATGGGGGTGCTTGGGACGCAAGCAAACCCTGAGACAAGGGCTCAAGTTCAACAGAGTTACTTGGGAAATGGCCCTGGGGAGCCAGGCAGGGCGAGGGAGGTGAGATGGGGGAGGAGTCACCAATAGGGTGTCCGTCCTGCGGAGGAGCTCTGGAGGGGCTCCAATCCAGGGTGCAGCCACCCTCCTTTTCCCAGACAGCCTTCCCCCAACTCTGGTTCTGCAGCAGAAGCCACGTGGACTCATTTGTGTAGGGCCCCACCTCCAGCCAAAGCTCACCTGTCTGCCTGCCCATATGTGGGCCTGCGGCAGGTGAAAAGCTCCACTTGTCTGGCTGCCCCACCCCCCCCCACACACACACACACCAGAATCAGTCTTGGTTTCCCCTGGCAGGCCCAGAATGCTTTGCTACGGGGACTCCAGTGACCAGCCCTCATGATAACTCTGAGGAGCCTGGAGATGGGCTGTCTTTTTGTCTTCTCCTAGACCCTGACATCCCTAAAAGGTGCAACTTCTGGCACAGACTCGAGCTCCTGGAGCCAACAGCACAAACGAGATACTAATTTCAGGACAGCCCAAGGTACTTATGGGGTAGTGAGCTCCGTGTCACCAGGGGTATGCAAGCAGAGGTGAGCTGGCCATCTGCTCCTGATGGAGCCAAGAGAGACCCAGGAGGCTGCTGGCACTGCTGCCCACAGCTTGGTGCCATATCTGGTCCCAGCAACCCTTTAGTGTTCACAGGGGCCCCACCAGGTGAGAAGTGGGACTGGATAGCAAGTCGTGCTTATCCAGGGCCTGAACCCCTGTCTTTAAGAGATGCCCAGTCCACAGACAGAGCTGCAGAACAGTCCTGTTTACCTCAGGGCAGGAGAAGAGGGAGAGGTGCAGGCTGGGGGCTGAGGACAGAGAGGGAGGAGGTAGCACTGGGCAGAGCCCTGAAGAGGGAGCAGCCAGGGGGAAAGCAGGTGGTCCAAGCAGAGGCACAGTGAGCGCAGCAAAGGCGAGAGGCTCGGGAACCCCTGTACCAGACCTTCCACTTCCTGGCACCTGTCACAGCACCAGGAGGTACCTGGAACATGTGATTTATGGATGAGGCGAGAGGCTGTGTGTCTGGGAGCATCAGGTTCCTCCCACCTGGCCCCTGGAGGGAAGCTGCTGTCAACTCAGGTGACACCCAGGGTCCAGGGTGCAGGAACACAATGGAAGGGTGCCTCTGACTCCTTCCCACACACAACACCCTCTGAGCCCCTGAGATGTGTAAGGCACTCACTCACAGACTGCCCTCATCCTTGCAGCTTTCCCACCAGGCTCACAGGGCAGAGTGTCGTCCCTACTGACTCTGAGACCCAGAGAGGTAATCTGAAGAGGGTCTGTCCACCTCACCTCACAGCCTTCCCACTGCCTGGGGGACCCCACATGGTCACCCTGGATCTCCCAGACCTACACTGGGCATCCATGCTGGTCCACACAATTCCTTCTAAGTCTTTGTTGTTAAGTGCCATCAAGTCAGTTCGAACTCATAGCGTGACCCTGTATAGGGTTTCTAAGAAGCAGCTGGTTGGGTTTGAACCGCCAACTCTGGTTCACAGTCCAGTGCTGATCGTACAAGCGCCACATCAGGACTAGACCTTCTAGGCCAGGATCCTACCAATTAAAAACAAACAAACAAAACAATGCCATTGAGTTGATTTCTACACAGGGTTTCACAACTGTCATCTTCAGGGGAGCAGACAGCTTCATCTCCCGAACCTTGTCACCAGGCATGAAGAGTTTGGAGGCTGGTCCTGTCACAGAGCTCCTAAAAGTACAGTTGACACTGGAGCCTAGAGTTTGGGACCCGCATTCAGTGGCACACTCCAGCTTCCCCCAGGAGAGGGGAAAGGGTCCTGGAGGTCACCTCTCCCACCCACCCCCTCTCAGAGCACAGAAGCCATGGGGATGTCTAAGGGCATAGCAGAGACCATGAGCAATGGCTCCAGACAAGCCCCCTGCTTCAGGGAAAAGACGGGACACGCTCAAGTCCCTCAGTAGTACCAGCAGGCTGGACACAGCCCCTCCCACACAGGGTCCTGAAGACCTAAAGCCCTCAGTGAGCAGCATAGGTGAGCAATCCCTTCCTCTCAGGTGGTCCAAGTAGCCTGCTGGGGGAATGGGATCAACAGGCTCACAACCGCATTCATAGGAAACGGATCACTAAAGTTGTCACAGCCCTTTCCAGGAGGGCTCTGCCTGTCCTCTCTGTTGTTTGTCCCTGTGTCCACACGACAGCTGGGGAGTGGACAGTTGCCACAGGGGAGCCCTGCAGATGGGGCCACACAAGGCTGCAGAGAAACCTTAATTCCAAGAAAAAGCTGCCCGGCTCCTGAGCACCTGTCG